TTTAGATGTTGAAGCTTTTTGCACTGATCAGTTAAAAACCTGACAAATGATGAGAACATTTCCTCTGGGCACCATGAACGTCTATATTCAGTCCAGTCCATCCAGTATTCGTTGAGTTATTTCAGTCTGAACTCGAGGTGGTGCATCGACTTGGAGTCAAGAAAACTAATTGCAGCTTCGGAGGAAACATTACGGGATGTAATTAGGATGTTGAAGAGAATCCAAAATTGCTTTTAGTCCTTTTGGTTTCTATGTTCTCACTACTTAGGTACTCAACTTCATTTCTCAATTTCCCCTTTAAACAGGTGGTGCTTCCTGATGTCCTCAGTGCACACAGGAACATCCAAATGTTTCTGAATGTTAAAGTTAGAGCTGGTTCCATTTGCTCCTTTGCCAAAGCAAAAACAGTGTTCTGCATAAATCCCCCCTCAGAGAGTATTTAATATCCTTTTAATGGCAACATGTGGGTAAATTGACACCAATCAATCAAACAGACGGCGTAATTATGATTGAAATGTGGTCTAGTTTGCACAGCTAGAAGGTACCTTACATTATAATTATAGTATCGCAGCTTCGTCAGGCAGCGGGGGTCTGTAGAAAACACTGGAGGAGTAACGTCTCGTTTTTAATAAAACACACCGCCGCATTACGCTAATTTACTTTAAGTGCACGTCTGTGTGTTTTTGCTGCGATATTCTGTTTCTCTCAGTTGGGCTTCAAGGACATTCCTGCCTCGTGATGATGTTTATAAAGTAGCATCTCTGCAGCAAGAGTAAAAAAAAAAGAAAAACGAAGCCACAGTGGCTCATGTTTGACCAGCGGCTGTTAAGTTTGAGAAGAAAATGTCGTGTTCTAAACAAACAGAGGAGAACAATGAAGTGTTTCTGAACCGCTCGCTAATCCTGAAGGGTTTGCAGGCAGTAAATCGAAGGCTGCTGGGTACCCGGCTCGATTGGAACGGATCTTTCAGCCCTTCGGATTGCTCGGCGTACCAATATGTTTAACGAGAAAGCGCTGTTTGTGGCCACTTTGGCCGAGGCGGATGGCGGTTTGGTGTTGGAACGGTTTTTTGCTGCGTACATGAGAAATAGCATCAACTGGAATGGAAAGGATGCTGTGTGTCTTTATGCATTTTTAAACAACTAACCCATTTAAAGTTGATGCAACATGTGCGTTTACCTGTGGAAAAATGCCACTTGAAATCACTGTAACGACAACTTATCTTGCATTCTCTTAGTTTAATCGTAGCAACTGGACTTGCTTGAGTTCCTTGAAGACGTTCCACCTCTCATCCAAGATGCTTCTGACTGACTAGTTGGGAGTTCCAGATACTTATGTTCCTTAAGGAGCCATAAACTCTTGGCTGGTGAAACATCTTTGAGAAACTCAAGCAAGTCCAACTGCTATGATTAAAATGCGAGAACAACCATGACCTGGATGACTGAGAATCTTCACAGACAACTCATCTAGCATAACTTTGAGAACAAGGCTCAGCAGTAACATCCTAATATGCGTTACTCTACTGCAGGGGTGTCCAATCCTGGTCCTCAAGGGCCACAATCCTGCATGTTGTAGATGTTTCCCTTCTTCCAACACACCTGATTCAAATGATCATCTCATCATCAAGCTCTGCAGAAGTCTGATAACGATCCTGATCATTTGAATCAGGTGTGTTGGAAGAGGGAAACATCTAAAACATGCAGGATTGCGGTCCTCAAGGACCAGGATTCGACACCCGTGCTCTACTGTATACGAGTGTGTAGTTGTGAATCCGGATATATTTCTTAAAACAACACAACACGCTCGTTTGAAAGCAGACCTTTATACATATTTACACAAAGAAAAAACAAAGTCTCTGCACATGAGCGGAGATCATTCGTTTGCAGAGAAACGCTTCTGGAAAAATCACAAGAGACGAACGTTGGCACTGAGATGTAAATACAGAGGAACACACGAGGCCGTTGTAGCGAACGAGGAGCGGCGCTGCACCACGTCTTCGAGCGGCTGAATGTTTAAACTGGTCCTCCGCAAAAATGTCTGGTAGGAGTTCTGCCTCCCGCTTGGATCTGACACAAATATACACAAGTTACACTCTCATATACACACAACATCCACAAGGCAGGGTCAGCACGAGCACAATGATGTTATATTTTTAGGCTGGTGGAGCTCGTGTGTGCTTGTTCGAGGGAACTGGCAGAAGAGTCCGAATGAAACCAAAGCTGGTGTTTTATTAGATCAAAACAGAAAGTTTGGGGCCTAAGAGGAGCGTTAAACTTTGTTTTGTTTGCATTTTGGCTGCATCTATCCTCACCAGCAAACTGTTCCCTAAAGGCTACGTCTACCGCGGGCTGCTTGATATGACTTCAACACTTCTTTTATTCTCAGTGACTTCAGATGGGGTTGTGTTCACCATGTTCACGAGAAAAACTTCATACGAACACTCGATTCCCTTTTGAAGCCTTGGGTTTTAAATTTGGCCGTCAGCATCTTGGTCTTTTGAAACCAGACGAAATAAACAACGATCTGACTAAGACACTATAAAAGCAATATGTTGCTTTTTTAAATGTGACCATAACTTGCTAAACAAACTTGCTATATTCAACAAACTAGCAATTGAGACCATAAACCAGTCAGGAAAATGTTTACTGAGGTCACAAATGAGGTGAGAAGTTTGGTCGTTTTCTCAAAGACTTCAACACAACCTGACCTATTTTGTGCAACTAGAGGAGAATAAGATGTTGTCATTTTAGTATGATGTCTTTTTTTGTAATTTTATGGAAAAACATGAATTTTCTCAACAAATAAAGGCTCATCCTTGACCTAACTATGCCTTTTACATTTCCTACACTGGCTCATCACCGTGCTCAGTGGCCTCTTCTAGCAGAGTTACTTTCACAACTTGTAGCCGATGTTACCACGTGATGACGAAAAATATATTGAAATTTTAGCATGTTGTTGTTTTTTTTCTTCTCGTTTATAGGCCTAGAATTCTCATTAAGTTTTTTTTTCTTTTCTTACATTAGCTTGCTAGCATGCTAAATGTTTAGGTTTGGTGGAATCTCAGTTACGTTGCCGTCGCCTCGCAAAGATATTTTACCAATTTGACACCAACATTCGGGGTACACAATTTCCCGTTTTGTAATTGCGAGCTCACATGTTCCGTCGTAAGACAGCGGTATAAATAGTTTGACAGGCTAGCTGCTGGTTTCAAACTGTGTGCTAAGCTAACTGGTGGCTAGCGGTAGCTTCCCACTGCTTTGAACAACATAAATAGCTATGTCTCATAGGATATGTCGTTTTGAATGTTAGCAAAGTAAGTGTACTTTTCTATTAGATAAAATTAATGGCTTTCTAACCTTGTGCTAAGCTAAGCTAACTGCTAGCTTCACACTGCCTTTTAACAAAATAAATAGCTATGTCTCATAGGATATGTTGTTTTGAATGTTAGCAAAGTAAGTGTCATTTTCTATTAGTTAAAATTAACGGCTTTCTAACCTTGTGCTAAGCTAAGCTAACTGCTAGCTTCACACTTTTTTTGATGACATGAATGGCTACAACTCATAGTATATGTTGTTTTGAATGTTAGCGAAGTGTAATTTTCTATTAGTTAAATTGAACAGCTTTCTGACCTTGTGTTAAGCTAAGCTAACTGCTAGCTTCATACTTTTTTTTGACGACATGAATAGCTACAACTCATAGCATATGTTGTTTTGAATGTTAGCAAAGTAAGTGTAATTTTCTATAAGTTAAAATGAGCGGCTTTCTAATCTTGTGCTAAGCTAAGCTAACTGCTAGCTTCACTGCCTTTTTTTGAGAAGACAAATGGCTACAACTCATAGAATATGTTGTATTGAATGCTAACAACTTAAGTGCCCTTTTATCTTGATAAAATTAGAGTGTTCAGATAATATTACAGCCATTTCTATAAAAACCAACAAATCCTTCCTTGAAGAGAAAAAGAAATCCCACCAACCAATGAGCAGCAGCGATCACCATGTTTCACAGCTTCACTGACATTTTGACACCGTGCCATAATAATAACGTATATTAGGAGAAGGAGCCAAATGCTGATTTCATTTGGGTTCTTCTGCCAGCGTTACGCTCACCCACACACGTTTTCATGTTTCAGAAGTGGCTCCCTGACACTTCCACAGCCTCGACACGCTCAGCCTCACACATCGCCTTCTGAACTCTCCTCCTTTCTTTTTCGACTCAAACACACGCTCAGAAGCAGCCGAGCTCTTTCATGTGGCTGAAGCCAAGAAACCGAGGAGTCGAGCCCATTTTTAATTTTCTCCGTGAGCTCGCTGCGCTTTCGGTTGCTCTGGTTTATTTTTCTTACAGCATCAAAAGTGTCTCCGGGCCGCTGCCGAGCTCCCCGTTTGGCAGATTTACTGGCTCGGCCTCTGAACCTTTGTTTGAGCTGCTTTCACTCCGATCCCGCTGATGTCAAACACACACACAAAGAGTAAAAACACATATACAGAAATACATACAACCAGAAGAGTGAGAAAGATCGGGAACCTGCAGGAAACTACATATATTACAGATGTTACAGATACGTGCTCAGCGTTGTGGGATTAAATCTATAAAAACATGATGCTGTTGTTATTCGACTTAACCAGGCATGTAAATGAATCCAGTTTAGCACACAAATCAGAGTTAAGTTTCAATTTAGTCCATCTGGCTCCGTCCTTCACACTTGGTTCTCTGATGGGGGTTTAACTTTTGATTATTTTTAAAAATCTCTAATGCAGTGTGATTCGTAAACAAGAGTTTGAAGCATCTGGTTTGTATTATCCCATTTAAAACATACTTTTAGCTCCTGCTCACTCCAACTAAATGCAAATATCTTGCACACGGTTTTCACCAGAAAGAAGTTCACACACAAAACAGACAAAAGCAAACCAACGAACACGTCAAATAAGCGTCCGTTTGGTGACCTGATGATGTTCCTGCAAGTTCCGAAACAATCACTCCGGATGAAAATAATAAATACCACTGAGGAGAAAGTTAAATAGAGGCGGAGGAAGCTGTGTTGGTTTAACATTTGAACATTTAGAAACAAATCACAATTTACTGCCTCGCAAAGTCGCTGGAGGCCGGAGTTCGCTCGACGCCAGTCCCGTTTAGCACGTTCTCCGGTTCCAGCTTCGTGTAATAAAGGCGTCTTTATAATACGCCGGGCCGGCTTCGTAATTTACAGTCAGATGTCGTTACCAGCTGGAGCCGCAGAACCAGCTATATAATACTCCACTTCTTCTTCTTCTTCTTCTTTTTTTTTTTTTGTTGTTGGTCCAGAACCCACCCTAAGGGCCCATAGTTTGAGAAACATGCAGGGTCTGTACAGAGTCTCTGGCCAGCTCGGTTCATAGTTCAGTCCTCTTTGAATCAAACGCTTCTGGAGAATCATTTGGATTGATAGAACTTGTCTTTGTGTGACAGATCCAGGGCTTCAAAAATGTCACTTTTCTCTTGCTAGAAATACGATTTGAAATACAATCAATTATGAAGTTTGTTTATTGGAGCTGACATGCAGGAATTTCTTAATAAACTTTCCCTAAATCTGTACAACGTGTGCACACGTGACTCCTGACAAACCAACGCTCAAAATAGGATTTTTTGTTGTTTTTGTTTTCTGAGATCCACCTTCTTGCTGTTCCCACGCATACAGCTTCGGCCGTCGTGGCACAGCATCGGTGCCAGCTCAACCTACAGAACCGAGGGCCGAGGGGAACATAATGGAAACACGTCCTCCAGCGAGTCTGCAGCCAAAACCGCTAACGTCGTGGGAAAGTCGACGTGCGACCTCATCAAAGCTGCAGCTTTTCTCCACCTTTCATCTCTGCGGTCTGGCGGTCGGACCCCACCTAGAAGCCAGCAAAGCTCGGCTCTCGCTGTAGGTGAACCGTTTGAAGGTTTGTGTAACGTTAGGGGGAAAAAACTACGAGTCATCGGTGCTATTTACTGCTAATCTAATAATTAGCTGCTACTAACGTGGCTTTGAATGCATCATCCCTTTAAATATCAATCACTGCTGATTACTTTCCAAAACACATCTTTTTTTAACTAACAGAATAATCAAACTCTTTTCCTTTTTTTTGTCACATTAGAAGTAAACATGTCCATTTATGTGGCAGTGTGGTGGCGTTTGGCTTTCCAACCACAAAACACATCAACCAAATGCGTCCGAGTTGCTGATTTTTAATTCTCAGACGTCTCGAGAAGAGAGCGTCCTAGAAATTTTGAACGCAAACTGAATGAAAACTTTGAGAAAATGCCTCTTGCGGCCACAACACCATGACTTTCAGCATCTCTTAAGCGTTTCCGCATGATGAAATTAATGAAAACCGCTTTTTTGCCCGGAAGGAAGGAAATCCATCTAAAAACATCTGTTGTATTTTGGAGAGTAATTGCGAGTGTGTGTGTGTGTGTGTGTGATTGGTAAGTAATGGAGAAAAACATGCAAAGCCAAAACTATGAAGCTTTAAGGCAGGAATCAATTCAGAGGAGGATTTTTTTTTTTTCGAGTGCTGAATTTCAACTTCGGGACCAAGACTTGTTTTTTTGGTTTTTTTTTCCTGCGGAGGTTCCAGCTTCAAAACATCCACTCCAATGTCCTTTTGTCACGACAGTCCGCCAAACTGACGCTCGTCCTTCATTCATGCAACCTAAGGTTTCCTACTTTTTATTCACAGAGTCACTTGTCCGAGGGAACGACAGTCTTTGCTGTACTTCGGTTATTTATGTGTAGCTTAGCTTGAACGTTTGTCACGATAATGAAAGGATGACGTTTCTCGTTTGTAGATAAGTGCATGCGCATGGAGTCGTCTCTGTACATACAGTATGTGCGTGTGTGTGTGTGTGTGTGTGTGTCTCAGTGTATAAGTTAAGTGTGTGCATGTGTACATGTGTGCGTATGTGTGGACGTTACACAACATGTTAGAGTCACTGTGAAGCAGCTCGTTCAGGCGCTCCTCGGCGCCCTCTGCTGGGGCTTGCTCCTGCTCTTCCTCCCTGCTGCTCTTCCTCCTCCTCCTCCTCCTCCTCCTCCACCTCCTCCTCCTCTTCCTCCCCCGTGCTTGTGCCTCTCCCCCCTCTCCTTCTCCTTGAGTGGCGCCGGCATGATGCCGCCGTGGCGACGCTGGTTGCGCGGCGGGCGGTACCCCAGAGCCTTGCAGTGCTGGCCGAGGTTTCCCGGGTGGATCAGCGCCATCACGTCCTCGTACCACGGCTGCGTTCCAGCGCTCTGATAGGACGGGCTGGACCAGGAGGCGAGGAGGCGGTTGGCCGAGGGGCTCCAGACGGCGAGGCGGACGGTGACGGCGGTCCAGTGGTAGCCGTGCTCCTCCACCTGGCAGTGGTAGACGCCGCCGTGAGACAGCTCGGCTCGACGAATCAGGACGCCCCGCTCGATCACCACCAGCTGGTCACCTGTTACCACCTGGAGAGAGAAGGATCATGTTTACATTTGACAGCCTAGATAACATCTATACATTGGTGGTGAAATAAGTGCTGAGAACATTAAAAATAATCATAAAAAATGCATGCACCTGGTTCAGCTCAGGACTGTTCTCTCCGGCCTGTTTGTACCAGGTGACTGCAGCATGTCTGGATCGAGGTAAACACTCCAGGTAGGTGCTGTTGCCCTCTGCAACCATCATCACCCTCTGCTCTGCCTCCACCTGCAGCCCGGCTGGAAGACATTCAAGGAAACACATGACAGCTTAGAGAACTGTTTTATGTTGAATTTCCGAATACAAATGTCTTTATTGTCCTTAAAAAAACAACGAAAGCATTAAGTGTAAGAGTAGTGTAAAGAATGTGTGTACAGAGAATAAAACAGTAACAGTGCAAATGTTTGCATATTTACAAGGAAAAAATAAGATAGTAGAAAATACTAACAAAACAGAGGCAGACAAAGCATTCAGGTGCTGTGAGCTGCTCCTCAGACATTAAATTGCACAAGATTTGTAAAGCTATCAGCTAATGTTGCACAAATATAAACTTTTTTTTGAGAGAATGTGTTTTTTTAAAATCACTGTTACTGTCATAAATTAATTTATTTACTCAGTTTTATACTGAATATATTTTATATTATAGTTTTTCAGAATCTTTATCGACTGTTTCGGGATGTAAAGTGTCATATGTTGGGCCGCATGAATAAAACTGGACTTGGATTGTGTGTTATATGTATTGTAACTAAATTCACAATTATGAAGCATATCTATGACACACAATGGTGTTAAAAATGACCTTAATATAGCTGTTAAAGGTGGAGTAAGCGATTTCCAATCCAATCGCTTATTGTGAAATATCTCTTCACTGTTCACTAACTGTCCGTTTCATGTATATGTGGTGAAAAAAAAAGAAAAACAAAATGTCTCAGATCAATTATCACAGCTCTATTTCAGTGTGTCTTGTGTCCTGCATGTTGTCGCTGGTGCACAGGACAGGGGGGTAAATGATGATAGGAGAAAAGTAAATCTGACACATGCTAACTGTCTAAACTAGCTAAACATCAACCACCTTTCTCCACCTTTAAACTGTTAAAGGAAACATGCTGAATGAGGCCAATGAATCAGCTCCTTACCTCCTTGTCTGACACACTGAGTCAGTGGATCTTCATCTTCGCCTAAATGCCGAGCGTTTCTCCTGTGAAGCAGCAAACATAACAGAAAAAAAAGATGATTTTACTTATAACTAACTGTAAAGTTTGACCTGAGGGTGGCACTGGAGGAAAGGTCACATAAAAAGGGTATAAATCACTTGGCAGAATTGATTTGCTGAAGAAATCATAACCGGAAAGGTCAGGATGTCACCAAACACATCAACAATTTCACGGAGAATCGACCAGTTGTAGTTCTTTGCAACGGAACAAAGTCTTAACCGAGTGGAATGACTGTTTAAAATTTAATCAGACAGATCTGAGCCGGGATGTAAGTCGAGCCACATGTCAAACTATGTGGTTTAAATCTGATTGGAGAAAATTGATTTCACGTTTATTCCTTTGCTTCAAGACTCGAGTGAAGACAAAAAAAAATCTACCTGTCAGACAGATAAGCAACATTCTGTCACTGTAAAGGTGGATGAATGGATGTAACGTTACCTGCGGACTGTGGGCATGTAGGGGCTGCACGCATGCCCGTCCCAGGTGCAGTAGGGGTCTCTGGCCAGGCAGCACTCGGCGCAGGCCTGACCGTACAGCTCGCACTGGTACAGGCCCAGCTGGGACACGCCCTCCCTGGAGCCCACGAACAACCACTGCTGGAAGAAGAGGCGGTGGGTAGAAGATGAGATGGAGGAGAAAATATGGGTTGGAAGCGAGGGCAGGAGGGAAGGAGGGAGGGAGGTAGATAGAGTGGAGGATGGGGGACGGCAAAGAGAGGAAAAAAAAGGGCATTAAGTTTGCAACATCAACAGCAAAACCAGATTGTGAGTCACACACGCAGCTCACACAACGTCGGTGTTTGTGTGTGGGAGAGAGAAATGTGGTGATTCTTGCTTTTTATAATCTTGATGTGTTCGTCTAGTTGTGTGAGCGAGCTGCGGGCTTTTTTTCTCCTTTCTTTATGAATCCCAGACTATTTTAATAATGCAAGGTGCACTTGTGTGTGTGTGTGTGTGTGCGTGTGTGTGTATGTGTGTGTGTGTGGCATCTCTTCATTATTGCTCCGACTGAGGTGGGGTAACCATAGCAACTGGTGATGAAGTTGTCCTTGGAGACGCTAGGTGGGGAGATGAGTGATAAGTGTGATAGTGTGCGTGTTAGAGTGTGTGTATGTGTGTGTGTGTGTGTGTGTGTGTGAGAGCGGATGTGAGGGAGTTTTGGAAGTTTTGAAAGTGAGTTTCTGTCTCTCTCATCTGTTACCTTTTTCTTTGAGAGTGTCATCGCTGTCACCGGTGATTTGTGCTGCGAGGAGGAGAGAAGAGGAAACGGAGAAACGCACTGAGTTCACAATGAGACAAACAGAAGAGTGTCTACAGAGATAGATAGATAGATAGATAGATAGATAGATAGATAGATAGATAGATAGATAGATAGATAGATAGATAGATAGATAGATAGACCACAATCACTTCAAACCATCTTAAATCATTTCAAGAACTGATCTTGCAGCGTTTTTAGAAGTGAAAGATTGTGCCGTTTCCCAAAATTGGGCATTTGATCGGTGACGACTCGGCAGCATCATGACAGATGATCTTCAGCAGTGTTTCTTTTTTGCCTTTTCCATCATAAAATTACATGTTTACGATCACTCCAGTGAATCAGGTCTTCTGATAGTGGCTTTATAAATTAAACCAAAATCCAAATATCCCTGGTGACCTGAAGGCAGCAGAGAGCATTGATGGTTTTATAGGCAAACTCAAAATCTACCTTTTCAGTCAGGCTTCTGATTGATTTGATTGATCTTATTACTTATTTATTACTGTTAGAACAAATTTTATTGATTGATTTCTCAATTTATTCACATTTTTGAATATTTTAGTCTCTGTCTGTGTTTTACTTATAGATATTTATGGTATAGATCCATCCATCCATTATCTATACACCGCTTAATCCTCACTAGGGTCGTGGGGGGCTGGAGTCTATCCCAGCTGACTCAGGGTGAAGGCAGGTTCACCTGGACAGGTCACCAGTCTATCACAGGGCTACACTTAGAGCCAGACAACCAAGCACACTCACATTCACACCTACAGACAATTTAGAATCACCAATTAACCTCAACATGTTTTTGGACTGTGTGAGAGGAAGCCTGAGATCCCAGAGAGAACCCACACTGCACAGAGAGAACATGTAAACTCCACTCAGAAAGATCCCGGGTGTCCTCACCGGGACGTAAACCAGGAATCTTCTCGCTGCGAGGCGACGGTGCTAATCACTGCACCAATGTTACTTTATTTCTTTGGGTTTTACTCATTGCATTCTTTATTCATGACAGCATTTGCTCAGTTCCTTAATCCCTGTGATTTGTAGTCTTTAGTTTATAACTTGATGTTGGTATTGTTTGTATAGCTTTGTTGCATTTCTATTCCTGTACAACCCTTTGTGTTACATTTCATTTGTATGAGAAGTGCTATATACAGAAAATAAAGTCTGATTAATTAATTGATACAAGAGGCTCTCAGGCAAATTGACTTTGGTACTGTACTGCAGAGCTGCCTCTCTTATATTGTGTGCAAATGGTTTCACAGTGTGATTAATGATTCCTCCTATCGTACAGTAATGCCGTTTTCATTTTAAGCAGGAGTGACACTTCTAATCTTGTTGTTTCCTGAATCCAATGACAATAAAAAGCTTTCTTCTTTCGATTCACACCCCTCCGGCTGCTCAAACATTGCATCTAATTGGATGATTCTTCACTCGGAAACTCTCCGGATCAACATGGCGGCTCGCTGGGAAACTTCCTCTTTTGTTATGAGAAATGTGTTTCTGAAGGCATTTGAGAAACAAGTTGCTGAATCTTTCCTCATTTTAGAGGAACGAAAGTTAGTTTAAAAGTTTTACCATAGTTTTGCGATCACTGTGCCTCATTTGCATAAAGTAGCAGAGACCCCAACTTTATGCAAACGAGGAGCAGCCAACGTGACCCTCCGCCTCTCGAAATGCGCTGCAGCAGCATAAACAAAGTGCCCACAGTCAGACTAAACAGTCTCAACCACATCAGTCTGGGTCAGCGCTGAGTTGTTCTCGTATTTTGAATCTCAGCCTCAAGTGGAATAAATTTTGGGCTCCAATATTGTCAGCTGTGGTCAACAACGTTTTTTGACACTCTGACTCTGACTTTGCTTACAGCGCTTCATATGTCAGCATACACACAGTAGTTTAACGGTGGTATCGTCGTACACACGGCTTATAAACACAGTAAACAGGAAAATTAGGAATTGTATCATGCTGGAATAAACTGTGTTTTCCGCAGAGCATCTGTGGCATCTGGCAGAAATCACACAGCCTCCACCTTGTTGCTCACAGTTTCCAGTGTCAGCTATTCATGCTGCAGTGTTTAAGTCAATGGTTTCATGTGGTCTCAACAAATATGGAATTCATCACATCACATCTGCATTGATTTTTCTCGCGCAGGCTGATATGAAAAGGATTGTCACTATAATGTGATGCTTGCATGTAGTTTGGAGAGCTCACTGTTGAATTTTTAAAACTGCACGTGAAAGAAAGGAGCTCAACGGATGGAAGACAGACGAGAAAAGTACGACAACTTGATTTGCAGTTTGCTGTACCTGAAAGACCTGCAGCTGCTCCAGAGTGACCTCCTGACTCTGACCGTGTTCTCTGGGCAGATGGATGGCCTTCAGCACGAGTCCCGAGTCTGAAGAAACAAAGAACGTTTAATTTAATTTAAGTTGGATCATGAAACAGAGCTTGAGGTTAAAATACCAATCACACGACCTGTACAAACTCAAAGAAGGTGCACAGTGCACACAATCTACCTGTGCCGATGAACAGGACGTCGTAGGTGCCATCCACGGCCTCCACTCTGTCCACCAGCAGTTTGCTGAACTTGTAGTGAGCTCCCACTCTGACCAGGAGGGGGCGCTCTCCTAGCGGTAGCACGTTCTCCTGAATTATAATTAGAAAATGCATCACATTAAACTTGCTCAGCCAATCACGTTGTTAATCACTCAGATGCCCTGTTGCTAATTTCTTAATTTCACTTAAGATTTTGGAGAGAAAAAACACTCGACCTGCTGCAGCATAGCACGCAAGCTAATTTAATTTAATTTGCTGTAATTTAATGATGTGAAATATGAGCCGAACCTGCAGTAGTGGATGAGTCCTGCTGAAGAAAATGACGTCGTCAGGATATTCTCTGGTCGAGCTGTAGCTTCCATATGTGCTGCTGGGACACTGAGAGAGAAATACAGATATAAAAAGGGCAATGTGTTGAAATCGCACATTACTATATAAGAAACAAGGCAGAATTCTCCCAATTTTACCAACTTTTGTGTTATTTTTGGGTGGTTAAGTGACTTATTTGCATTCATTTAACTGCAAATGGTCACCTCAATCTTTTTAGAGGGTATTTACTCATTTAAAATGTAAAAACCTTGACTTACGGAGAGAGTTTCTACTAACAACTTACCGTTCCTGGTCGTGGATAGGGCACCTTCCCTGTGAACTCGGCCCATTTGTACTGAGGCCCCTCTTTGTGCAGGAAGTTTCCTTTAAAAGCTCGAACAACGTCCTCCATTCGATAGACGCACACGGCCGAACCGTTGAGGATATCACTGGGGATAAACAGCACGGGAACAAGGAGGGCATTGTCAGATCAATCTTTCCACCCGTTACTCCGCCGTCGAGCAGAACACAAGCTGAGCGCGCCTTCATCATCTGTGATGAGTGGCAGCGGTCTCTGAGCAGTAAATTAAATAAGAAAATGTCATGTATGAAGAGCTGTGACTCATTGCGGCTTTTCAGCTTGAACGCATCAATTCGCTGAATGAGCTCCAGCCCCGAGTTGGATGAATGTGCTTCTTTCAGCGCATCACTCAGTCACGGCTTTTGAGATTTTATATTAACTTATTCGGTCACTTAATCAGTTGAGCTATTCTTCGCATCACTGCTTCCACCCACCAGAGGCCTCCTGCCTGCCACACCCACCTCACCTGCTCCCAGTTCCCCCAATCAGCCCTTTTCAAAACCACTTAGCTGATGAGTCCAGCAGTATACAGACTTCCAGGTTTCCACCACTCCTTTGCCAGCTTTTCTGTGTTGTGTTGTGCTTTCCAGTTTTTTTCCCTCCAGCTTTTGGGTTCCCTGGTTTATTTTAATACGTGTCTTTACCTTGGACTCTGCCTCCGCCTGAAGGGCTGCACTACAAAGTCAGATTACTGGGTCAGTGGGCTGTGTTGAGCCTAAAGCTGGAGTCCTCAATGTCATGAGGGTGGCTCTCTCTAACCTGGCTAAATCACCATGGCAACAGATGCTGTCCAGCTAACCCGCACCGGAGGAGGTTCTGCTTAGACGAGATTCTCCGCTGAGGGAACATGTTTCACCTGCAGACTGGCTGAACTGTACATAAGCGATGCAGCTAGTGAAGCCGTGCAGCTACAGCAGTGCAAACTGTATGCATCGTGTTGCCATGGTAACCTACATGCGTGATGCAGAAAATGCACAAATATGTTGTTAATGCTTGGTGCTGATTTGGTGCCATTACATTTCTGGTACTGCTGCCAATAGAAAACAAATTAGAGAACTGATTAGTCTGTTGGTATTCATCTAAAAAATATATTCAATCAATAACATTAATTTGACTTTGATTTGACCATAAACTAAAGAGACTTTCATGTCTTCTTCATTGTGGGACAGCGTCAGAGCTAAATCCACTGAGCATCATGTTTAAATGTATGAAGTTTATGAGCTCTGTTGTGCATCTGTTGTGTTAGAAATAAGCAGCTGCACTGAGAATATATTAACTAACACAATTAACAGTTTTTTTTCCCTCTCTTAAATCATTTCTAGCAGCAGTTCCTTTTCGCAGACTAAACTTGTTTTTATATTCTTCATAGCTCTCTATTAGGAGAACCTAAAGTTTGTGTGGAAGAAAAGTCAATCGATGCACCAAACGCCTCCTTTAACCGGATGAAGAAAACCTGGTTGACGAAGCTAAAAGCCGCTGTCAGGAAGTGATCTGTGTTTGGGGTTTTCTCAAGCCAGCTAATGCAAAAAAAGCCCGGCTATATTGAACCTCGTAGCACATCCCTCGACTGTTTTTCCTGCATTTTGCAACCTGCCAACCCTCATCTGGGTCCCCTCTGAATCGAATTGCATCTCGGTCCCCACCACATCCCATCCCATCCACTGCAGTTAAGATAATGAGTTCTGGGAGATTTTTAGCACAGCATGTCTAAGTTGAAGATTGCAGCAATTTGTGCAACCAGATAGCTGGGTGGTTAGAGAGCATACATGTCACATGGGCACAAACGCCTTAAATCAGCGAGCCTCTGGTTTGATTTCTGGCTTTCTCCCCGCTGTGCTTCCCCACATTTCCTGTCTCTCCTCACTGTCACTGTTTAACAAGAGTGAAAAATGCCAAAGAGTAACCTTAAAAAACAAGAAAGCCCGTGTTATTATGAGCTAGGGTGGTTTCCTTCAGTTTATGTGGGTGACGCATATGTTTGCGCTGATGTTCTCGTGCAGGGAGGGAGGCCCTGAAAGGTCAGAGGTCCCACAGGGGAAGCCAGACGCTGTGTTGACGTCAAATCATTTAAGATTATCATGACAACAAGCGACGAATTAAAACAGGGCGTTCATGTCAAGCCCTCGAGTTGTATTTACAAGATATCAAGAGTTCTGAATCACTGGAGAAATGTCTACACAACAGGATTGTTATATTCAGTGGAAAAAGTATTACAAATACAATCGATGGGGCTGATTTAAAAGGAACTATGAAGATTTTGTTTGTATCATTCTGTTGTGAAGAGTTTTGTAAAGTGTGAAATATTTTAAGAATCATCACAGATGTACAAAGAAACCTGCAAGTTACAGTAACATGATTAAAACTGCATTAAATGAAATGACCACCACCCAAACTTTGAGTATTTACAGACCCTCTTGCAGATGTTTGCACACACCATTAAAACGAACAATTTATAGCTTTTACAAGACTCAAATTTGACATAAACGTGACTAAAATATGCTACATTCTGTCACATCTGCATCTAAAAAGAAAGAAAAAGTTGGTGTCACTGTTCCTTAAACCTGACTCTACATTCCTCGACCACATTAAGAGAAAGTTGATGACCTGAAGCGACAGAATGGACGTGAGGAAAACTGGATCACTTATCACCAGCATTGGCCTCACTTTGGTGGCTTGTGTTTGTTTCAGGACTGACTTTAAGATTTTATTGTTTGCTTTTAAGGTTTTAAATGGGTTGGCACTTTATTATTTAGCAGAACTCTTTACAGTTTCATTAGAGCACTGAAGTCGACCATCCAGATGCTCTTAGATGTTCCAATATCCAGACACAAAAACAGAGGCGATCGAGCCTTTGCAGTCGCTGTATTTAATCTGTGGAACCGTTTGCCTTTTCATGTGCTGCTGTTTAGAAACCTTTAAGCCACTGCTGAAGACCCATCTGTTCTCTTTTCTATTCCATCCAGGTAGAGCTTGACCCCCTGACTTCATATTTTGTGTTGCATCTTTTATTTTTCTTCATTTTATTGTGCTTTTATTCAGATTCGTCTTTGTAATCAGTGTGTTTAAGTCTTCTGACTGCTATTCATAGTTGTACAGCACTTTGGCGTAACTCCTGTTGTTCTAAATGTGCTTTATAAATAAAACTACGTGAAATATAGACTTGAATAGACTGAGGATGGATCAAGCATTAGAAAGATGCTTTTCCAGGTGTATTGCTGGACTCACGTGTAGCTGGGTGACAACTACGGCCAAATGCAGGAGACGAGGTTGTATTTCCACATCTGTATCTGTTCATATTAAATGTGTATCTGTGGTCAATGTGACAACAACTCTAGCAGTGGAAGTAACTCAGAAATGAATAAACACTGGGTTCTCTAAACCAGCAACGTGCCAACCATCTAATCTAATCTGCTGTTGCATGAGATGAACCGACGATTACATTAAGAAAATTTAAATTTGAATGGAAAACAAAATAATGAAGGCAAAGAGCAGATGACAGATCCGCGGTTTACACGCTCGACTTCATCTGCAGACAAAAACCTGCGTGTGTGTGTGCAGTCATGATTGTACCACAGAGACAAGTTTCCATTCAGAAGGAATGACCTTCTCTGCACTCTGCAGTTCTGTGGTTTCGGACCCCACCCTGGGTGATGCTTTGGATTTCTGTCCGTTCCCCGCTGAGATTCCAGACACTTTCCAAAAACCCGAAGAAACAGACCAACTCCCTGCTCCGCCGGGCCAAATGCTGTCATACTTGTGCTGCTACTGTGGAGCTCTGGCGTCCAGCTCAGAAACTGTTTTATTCTCAGAACATGTGGTGCTTTTAGTAACTTGGAGAAAATGAGAAAAGGCAGGCATTCTGAGTTGGCGTCGTTCATTTTTTTTTTCCTCTGGCTTTTTTCTCACTTTTTCCTCTGCTTTTTGCAGACGTTGCCTGTTTTCCTGTCTGTATATTGTAGTTATTCACCTGACATCTGGGTCAGTCTTCGTGAGAGCCTGTCCCATTGAGTATTAACATTTTATTTCTATTTGACTTTAGCGGTTTGCCTTCTCTCGTATTGTTTGGTGCTTGTCACTGCAGAAAAAACTTTTTTATTATTCCTCTTTGTTATAACTGCCTCACACGTGAGCAAGTTAACTTCTCCTAGGTACTGACAGAAACCATACTTGTCATAACCCGCAAATTTAGTGCTGCTTTATATTAACTTCCCTATAAAATATTAATACCTTTTGTTGTTCTTGTTTAACCTCTGGAATATAAGTCAGTGTTATTTTTGTATTCTATCCTACTGCAAGTCAACTTCAGTCTGGTATCTGTGTTTGTTTGGGTGTGAAAAATAAAACATGTGTCACACGCAGGGGTGTCACACTCTGATGATGATGATGATGATGATGATGAAGCCTCACATGAGCTCCACCATGTTGTCAGCATGAATGACTGTGCTTCATTCATGAGTCGCGGTGACAGAAGACGCTGCAGGGTGTGTGTATATATCACAGTGTGTGACATCAACATCTGTGCACCGCACATTACAGCGTGACATGAAGCATTCGCGTCGTGTCACTGACGCTCTCTTGACTCACTGTGGTCATGTATAAACATCACAGCGGACGAGGCAGAAGCTGAGCTGCTCAGTGTTCGAAGATGAAATGAGACAAGAAGTTACTGAGTGTTTGAGTTTTATAACATTTACTTATATAAAACTCAAAAAGATGCTTTTGCATTTATAGATCACTTAGAATTGTTGAAAAATACATGTAGTAGTCATTTTATGGTCCTCAATTATTTCTGCTTAAAGCTTTCATCCTTCTGGAATAGATTTTTGAACTGAAATCTGACCAGTGGTGGAAATCCTCACTTATTTTTTTACTTACTTCACTTTCTTTTTGAATTTGAATGCTGATTTTGATTTTGAATTTTGAATGCTGTTGTTGTTGCTGATTTTATGTTGGTGTTGTGTTGTTTTTTTCTGGTGTAGCAATTTCCGTGAGGTTTTGTACCGAAGGTTTCAATAAAGTTTTATTCTAATTATGAAAGTTTTCATTAAATTCCCTCCACTGTTATCTGTGGTTTAATTTACAGTAGTGCTGCTCGATATTACTAAATCCTAAAGTAGTTCCTTTTACTGTTTTTAGTTTTTACTGCAGTATATAGTATAGTATAGTATAGTATAGAAAAAGTACAACCATGACTAAAAGTAAGGAGAACCTTAAATGTCTTTTAGCATAGCAAAGCTACAGTGCCATAAATTTAAAAAAAATAAAATTCTCAATTTATTATATACTAATTGAAAAAGACTTGGATGTCCAACATTCTTCCAAGAGCCCACAGGCGTTACCACTATTGGAAAATAAAATAAAAAGCTGTAAATACTGCAGACTATGAAGCTTTTAAATGTGTTTTCAAACTCACTCTGTGTAAACACTGCCTGCAATTCAGTCCAACACAAGAGCTCTGAATTTTAGTCACTTTAACTGTTGGTCACAGCTGAGTCTCTAATCACTTCCCAGTCGCACTGAGGTGCACAAAACATTACATTTTTTTTTACAGAATCTGGGAGAGAAATGGCTTATTTTTTGTGAGTTTTTCAAGAAATTTTTAAAACAAACAAGTCTCGATTTTAAGCTCATATCTGGTAATTTTTTCTAAAGGAACAGCTCATGTCAGTTGTTGAAAATCCAATAACTCCTACTACTGGCTGTGATAAATGGTTTATTTAGGCTCTGAACACCTCGCAAAAGACAAACAATGACAAAACCTTAAGTCAGCACCATCCTGACGTTTTCAATAAACAAAGGCACATAGTTTACAAAGCACTACTTTAAGGTTCTCACTCCCATGATTTCTGCTTTACAGAGGCACATACCTTGAAGTGGTAAACAGGCCGTAGATGAGAGGGTTCTTCTTGTCTTTCCCATGAAGGATGAAGATGTCCTCTAGATAGAGAACATCCAGACAGCACGAGGAAGGATGGGAGCGATCAGAGATATGACAGAGAGGGGAAGGGGGGGTAAAAAAAAAAAAAGAAAAATATTAGTCTTCCAGAGAAAAAATGACAACAGCGTCTGAATTACTGGACAAGTTTTACATGAGTGTTGCTCTGGTAAACTCCACGTGTCTGTATATACAGTTGTGAACAGAAGTTTACATGCACTTGTGAAGATGATGTATTTCACGGCAGTCTTGAGTTTCCAATGACTCCTATAACTCAGACATTTCTGTGATGGACTCATTGAATGTCTTCGTCACAACGAAAACATAGAAAGCTGTGTTAATCAAATTTTCCCAGTTGCACGGCCTCTTAACTTCTTGCGAGTGATTAAGATTGAATACAGCTGCTTAGTCCTTTGACTGAATCTAAATAGAGAACATTTGAAGCACCTGCTAGACTCAGCCACAAACACTACGGTGGAAAAGTCTTTGGAGCACAGTACAGTTATGAAAAAGCAAAATGTTGACTTGTATTATGCTCTGGGGCCGTTTTGGTGGAACCGGTGCTTTGAAGAAGGAGGATTACCTCCACATTCTTCAGGAAAACCTAAAATCATCAACCAGAAGGTTGGATCCTGGAGACAGTTGGGTGTTTCAATGAGACATCAAATACAACCCAAAACATACATCAAAAGTGGTGAAGACATTTTTAAATCAGGCTAGAGTTAAGGTTTTAGACTGGCCTCCCCAAAGTCCTGAGCTAAACCCAATCAAGAACCTGTGGACTGTGATGAAGGAACAAGTCGTTATCAGAAAGACAACAAATTTAGTTGAACTGCACCGATACTGTCAAGAAGCGTCAAAGATATAAGCAGAAACTTGTGGACAGAAACCAAAAGTGCCTATTTTTTCACCTAAACTAGGCACTTTTGGTTTCCGTCCACAAGCTTCTAGTCGTATCTTTGATCACTCTTCTTGACAGTATTGACAGCAACGACATTTAACCAAATATTAGCTCTGCTGTATGCACATTTTTGACCCATATTTCCAGATGACCTACAATAAATCTGTGAAAGAACCAAACTACACAATTGTTTTCTGTGACAGAGACATATTTGTTTTAATGATTCCATCAGAGAAAATTCAGAGTTATAAGAGTCACTCAAGTCTTTGCCAATGTATGTAAACTTTTGCTCACGACATGCATGTGAGCAATGTTCATGAGTCTAGAACTGCCAGTGTGTTTGTGCTCGGTGCTTTGTATTCATTATGTCGATGCCTGCGTGTGTGTATCTGAGTGTGTGCATCTATCAGTCTGACTGTGTGACTAATAGTGTCGGGCGTGCTGGCAGCATGGCTGACTGGCTGCTTGCAAAGAATCTGTAGCCATTAATAACCAGCCACAGTGGGAGAGCTGAGCAGTGAGTCCGCCGCAGGAGAACAACACCTGCTGTCACACAAGCTAACACCACGCCTCAGTCTTCGCTCTTCATTTCAAACACAGCGGATCGCAGCATTTGATAGGGTTTTCTCACTCCGCCGTTGTTCCGACTGCAATCCCTCACGCAGCGCAATCAGGTGGGAGTGTGGGTTTCTTTTTTCTCTTTTCATCTGTCTGTCTTGATAACTCAGTCGCAAATAGCACAAATCTGACTACACCAGGTGAAATGAGTTCTTTTTTTTTAAATGTTGTTCTAGCGTTTGAACTTTGAATTTGAAAAACATAAACCCGGACTGCAGGTCAGAATTAATCAACAGTGGTAAACATCTATTTCCTATTAAAATATGCCTCGCAAAGGTACGTTTGAAGGAAGCCTGCAGAGTTTCTGTAGCTTTGATGAGCATATACCCATTTTGCATTTATCTTGTCATTTCTCAGCTTCAGTGCAGGTCCATCGTAATAAAAAACAGGTTGCAATGAATTCTGATAGTCTCAAATGAAGTGGGAAAGTTGTGTGAAACAATATAATTAACATTTGGAGAAAAAGTAATAGTTCTCTCCTTGGTTAATTGCTGTCATTTTTGAAATCCCAAATTAAAGTCGAGATGAAGCATGTTGTCATTTTGATTGATAATAATATTACTGAACAGACTGGCAGTGAAACAAACACATAAATGACAAGTTAGGAGACCAAAGAACACAACAGTCCTTTGAGAAACTAACAAAAGTAGGACCTTAGGCCAGATGGAACTAAAAAAAAAGTCTCCTTCTTTGGGTGTAAACCACCAGAGACCAGACCATTTTGCATGTTTTTGAAATGCGAAAAAGTAGAATGGCGAATGCATGTCTGTAAATATTTATGTTTGTCTCTCCTTAACCCTCACTGAAATACTTGGACATTTAATATCTCAACCCTGGGGTGTTACTGGTGGATATAAGGGGACATTTTTTCTTTCAGAGTTTCTTTCAAGTTTCAGATTTAGGCTGAAAATCAAAGTCAAAGCAGTTACCATACATGTTTCCTCACCCACCAAAAGAAAAATAATAATAATGTTGACAAATTATTGTAAAAAATCACATATAATAATGATGGAACATTTATTTCCAAATCACCAGTCAGACTTACGCAACTTATGACACTTGTGTCAAAATATCACTCTGGCTGACTCGTGATTGGTCAGAGGCCACAGTGACTTCTCTGATTGGCTGGATAAAGTCACATGACTCTGCCCTCTGCCATTTGTAAACCCTGCGGAAGTTACCATATATGGTTCCTTACCTGAGGGTTACATGATTATATTTTTGAACAGAGGTTTGTCTTTAAAAAGAGTTTCCAATCTAAATGAGACAACCTGTTTAACTAAGAGACTGAATATTTTACTGTACATTTCCCTGCTGTCTTGTCTCTCTCCACTGTTATGGTCAAATAAAAAGAAATGTATGGAATTAAACTCAGCTGACGCTTTGACACACATGTGATAACTAACTTTGTTAACAAGAGCCCCACAAGATATGCTAAAAGTGTGAGATTCCTGATTAAGAGACAAGAAACGAGCCCACAAATCTAATCATTCCTAATAAATTTCACTCCTATAGCGTTTAACATTCACCAGATCTCAGTCCAATTGAACATCTATGTGAGATTTTGGTGTTGGACAGCGCTGCCATCATCAAAACATTGATTATATCCCTTCAGTAGGATTCTTACTAAGAAACTTTGTGCTGGTTTTTCCTTTAATTTGTCACCTGTCTATATAGTCGCATCACAAAATGTCTGTGACCTCTCAGACATCACTGGTTCATCTTCAGGAGCTGATATATTGTGTATAAAAACAGATTAAAAAAATATATTGTTTATGACAGTTGTGAATATTTCTAGTGTTCTCGTGCTCGTGGTTGTATAATTCAGTCGCCTGCTGTCACAGCTCAGCCTAGACCTCAGTCTTCCCAGTTTATTTAAATCACAAAAAAAAAATCAAAGGCTTTTCTGTTTTGCACTTCTGTCTCGGATAAGAGCCGGAAACGTTTTATCAACCCGTCACAACGGTCGAGAACGCAGCTCTTTGTTTTTCTCGTTGGCGTGCTGTGATAATCTATAAATACATGACTCGACTCCTGCTCCTCGGGTAAGTTCGGCTTTAAAAGTTTCAGAAACTCCGCAAAACGGAAGAGGACTCGGGTTGACGTCGAGACACAAACGGTTTGCAGCGATGGAGGTGAGGAATGGATGTTTAAAAAGTCTCCTCTCTCGTTTCCCTTCGCCGAGGCACGGGAGGTTGTTGTGGTGATGGAGACGGCGAGGCGTATCGCTGCTCCCACATTCCTGCCGTTCCTGCTGCTTCAGGTGGCCTCCGTGGAACTGCAGGAACGCTAATCTCATCTCATCACAGCTACACACACACGCTGAACAAACATGAACGCGCCCACACACTCATACGTCGCCTATAGACACACACGTATAACCAGCGGGACCCTCAGGGCAGAGCACAGAGGACTATGGGTAGTCCACAGCCTGCAGCGTACACACTGCTCCCTCCCTCAATCCCACAATATATCACTCCTTCATTATTTAGCTCCCTTCACTGCTCCTTCACTGCTCCTCCTGCTTTCAAATTACAATGCAATTACAATTCTCTTTCTGTTCTTTACACACTTCCCCTCGTCTTTTTCCCATCGTTTCTAGCTTGTTCTCCTTTCATTTATCAAAACCATTATCATCTCCCTGTTTTTTTTTCCCTGTCTCTCCTCTTCTACTTGTCTTAAAGGTTTCTTTTATGGCAGTTGTTCTTTATTGCTCTGGATGATGTATACGCTGTGCGTTCCGTGCTTTTATCCAAAGTTTTTTCAACGTAAAGGATGAGCCAGCGTCAGAAGAAAGGCGTCGGAAGATTTATATCTAAACCTGCAGAGTTTTATGGCCATGCAGGCAGCCTGCGTGGAACCCATTTGAGCACACATGATGGACAGCTTCAGTTTGAATCTGGTGGGAACCAGCCATGTTTAAGGGGCGATAAGACTGTGATCATATAGGGGAAACAACTAATGCAATCTGTTTGTAAGCGCATGCAGAACGAGTGTTTGATCTCCGGCCATCCAGAGGTGGACAGAACCGTATTTGGCCATGTATATGACCAAATGTTGAGGATGTTTGCCTGCAGGACACATGTTTGAGCTGTGGAATGGTAAATAAGCCTTCGTGTGCAGAGGTGGAGATCAAGGGAAAAGGCCAGACAGATATTTGTGGTATGCATTACTGTAATAAAAAAAAAACCCAGAAAGCCTTTCAGAAGTCCATTTGATACAAGTAATATGTCATGTTTGGTTAAAAAGCAGAAGTATATTGAGTTAAATGCTAACATTAGCATGTTGGCATGCTGTAAATGTCTACCAAGTCTAGCATGCTAACATCTGCTAATTAACACTTGAAGAGCAGCAACTTCGTTTTGCAAGTAAAACATTAAAGGCCGCGATGAAAAGAGGCAAAGGTATAAAAATGTGAGAACACTGTATAGACAGAGGAAACCTGCCACAACTACAGGAGGTTCAGGGGCGTGCATTTTAAAA